TTTTGTAAAACAAATGCCACACAGTGCAACAAGACCAGAATTAAGGGTCTAATAGGAAAAATAAATTATTTATTGCTTATAAAAGTGAAAACCATAAGGCAGACCTTTATACAGAGGGGTAAGGTTAGTGAGGTGAAGCTGCAGAGAGGGGAAGTGTTAACAGTCACTGTCAATACCTGGCCTCTAAATCAAAATAAAAAACCCTGAGTCACTTTACATCAATGAATATACAATGCATGCAATTCTCTTTATAGCCACACAGGAAAATGAGAAATAATCTTCTGCAGAACAAAGTGATATTTAGGAAGAGAACACACAGAATGCTCCACCATCATTTGACACTTTCCTTATCTAATGTACTTATTGCTATAGCAGTATTAGATAGGATGGTAGTTATTTGTGGATATATAAGTTTTGCAAAAACAGTAATATCATTTTGAAATTGAAAAATTTAGCTCTCATCACAAGATTCGGACGTCAAAGTTATTCATCACATTATATAATTATTGGATAATTCAACAAGTTACTCTTCATATTCTGAAATTCATATATAGCTTTGTAATTCTAGTAAAGCTGAATCTGAACAAGAATTCAGTTTCACAACTGACTCCTTACTAATTTCTTGAAAATGTACAGAAATTGTCAAGATTTCTATAAGCACACTCACAGCTCTCATGGTTTCACTTCTAGGATATATTTTTCCAAAATCAATGGAAATTTGGCCGACAATACCAAATAAGGAATCAAACAGGTCAAAGTTTAGATACCCTTTGAGCAAATTAGTATAATTACTAGAAACAAACAAGGGCCTGTGTAAAATTTAAATATTCTACATTTGCATAGCAGAAGAAACTGGCTTAAACACTGCCACAGCAAGCTCGTTTATAAACACAAATCAACATATTGACTTTTGGATTATTCACCATTCTGAAGCATAACCTTGGAAAAGTTAACCTAGTGCTGAGCACTGGCTGCTAACACAGCAAACTGCTCGACACCTCCTGCTCTTTTTCTATAATATACTCTTCTCGGAGATACAAACCTTTTAGCACAAAAATATTTTCTACCTTCTGCCACGGGCTAATTCATAGTCTATTACCATCAAGCTTAAATGCTGAGTAACCAGGATCACAAGTGAAGTCTCCATGAAAGTTAATACTAGCCTAATCATGGATTTTTTCAAGCTTATTTCATAGAATTAACCACATCTTAAAAAAGAAGCATGGTCATGTAGCACATTCTTTCCTATGAATAATTGCATGGATAGACTCCTTTCCAACTGGCAACCAAACAGAATTCCCGTAGCAACGACATCAGTTGTCTATATTGAAAGGTAATATGAGTAGTGTATTTTAAGCTTCTTGTAAATGCAATTTAGCAACTGGAAGTCTGAAGTACTGGCATGGTGCAAACTACTTATCTGCCATACTACCACATGAACTCTTAAATGTCAAATCCAACTATGGGGAGATATTTTTTATGTTCAGACAAAGCCACAAGATTCATTTCCGTCTACCATGCAAGACACAAGTACACATAACAAATGTTTCCTTAAAATAAGAAACAAATCATTTAAGCCACAATAATGAAGTGTACTCTGCACAGATCCACACAAACAGTAAAACAACTGAAGTAACTGTTTTGTGTGATCACTGCATGAAAGAAATAATCTATTTGATCATTCAGCAGTAAGTACAATTTTTAACCATATTTTGAGCCTCCAATTCCACATTCGCAGCACTCTAGCATATATTCAGTAGACAAGACTGGGCTTATACAACAATTCACTCCTAGTAGAGTTTTTGTCACATACTGAAGGTTATCAAAATAGCTACAGTTTTCTATGGCTGAAAGGCTGAAGGTATAGAGTTCATTACATAGTGGTTATTTTAAATAACAAAATTCATATGCTGCATTTTTTTCCATTATTAACATAACTCCAAAGCAGTCTTGAAATCAGACTCATTTTTGTTCTTGGAAAATCAACAGATGCAACTTCCTAAATTCTCACCTGAAATGGCTAGGAAGTTTGTCCTTGTTTAATAGTACACTCAGCCTACTACAACAAAATAGCTAAGCAAATTTCAGTAAAATTTAACTCTAACATTAGCAAAGTAATTACCATACTATCTTCACAACTCTGTCCTCAGGCTAAGAATTATCCCATCTTTAAGACTGCTGCTCCAGGTAAAATCTCCACTAATTCCCACTTGTAGCAGCTTAATACACGTCCTGTGCCCTTGCTTTAACATGCTTAACCCTCTGAACTTGCTCATCTATATACACTCAGGCTTAAGGGATGACATCCTCATTAACTGAGGACTCCAAGGCCAAAATTACAGCTACACAATCATGAACAAAATCAGAGTATCCCTTACCATCAAGGACAGAACAAAAGCTGCATCTTAAAGTAGTGCCTTAATTATAGCTAATGAATTTAATCCCTACCATAAAGAAACACTCAACATGTTTTAAAGCATTCACTAGAAAAAAGTAGTGTAGAGAGTAATTGCTGTGGAAAATTAGTATTACACAAACTTTGAGTCAAAGTACAGGTCAGACAATATTAATGGGCATTTCCAGATGAAGTATCTATGTTTGTCAGGTATTTTACCCACATGAATATCCATGTGATTAGGCCACCAAAGACTGAAGCCTTTTGAACAGAACTGAAGATCTATTGAGCAGCTCATTGCACAGCCAACAGGGCATTATATCTAGTAGATGAGGAGGAGCTTCCTCGGTAATAGATACCCTTCAGCATGTAAGTAATGTCACTAGGGGAAAGGTGGACCACATGCCTGTAAAACACAAGAACTGTAACATTTTTCAAAAGGACACTGTCTTCAATGTAAGATTCCTCCAGCAATCAGGTAGCTGAGGTGCAATGAAGTGAAAAACCATAGCTGTGGCAGGCTGACAGTGCCTAAACAACAATTTGCATTACAAATAAACAGGAAATACATAATTTACTTATCCCAGATACTTTGACAATCACAATGTCAATATCTTAGTAACTAATCCTATTTGCAAACTCAGTAGAAAAATCAGAATCCAACAGGCAAAAAAATCCTCTCCTTCCTCCCTTTCTTTTATTTTACTTTGCAAAGGTTTTTGCTTTTTTTTACTAAAACGTAGGTTTTGCTACAGTTATTCATAGCCACAGACAGTCCTAAGAAAGTTAATACAAATCAAAATTAAATCTGAACATTATTAAAACCAAATTATTACAGAACGCAATTTTATTACTGTTTTCATCTAAAATACAAATTATATTCTGTCTCATTACCTGCATCCACTTTCAGCTCATTTCAACATGCTAGGTTTCACGTATGATGATCTAATTTTAATGCCTAATTGAATACTTTTAAATTATGATTAAACTCCCCAGTCAATCTTCTGAGTAAAAAAAATGCAAACACCACGCTGATTCAACAGGTTGCAGTAAGTCTTCTTTTTCTGGTTCCTTGCTAGGAATCAGGTACCCACAAGATCTGATAGTAATCACAGAATCACAGAATGTTGGGGATTGTAAGGGACCTCAAAAGATCATCTAGTCCAACCCCCCTGCCAGAGCAGGAACCTAAACAATTTTACACAGGAAGGCATCCAGGTGGGTCTTGAATGTCTCCAGAGAAGGAGACTCCACAACCTCCCTGGGCAGCCTGGACTTTTTATTCCCCTCAAATTTAAAAACAGCCGAGTTAAAGGTTATTGGACTTCCCAGAACTCTGTTTTATTAATCCTATTTAGAAATTTGTCTCTAATGATTAAAGCCTGATATACTAATGTATACTAATGGCAATTTATATTTCCAGATTTAAACTCTCCATAGTTACAATGTAACTTCTGTATTTTTCATAAAGCATTCATGTAGGTGTTTAACTTTTAACTACTGCCTGCTCTTCTACAATAATCTGTTTTGATTTTTTGCATATGCAAAACATACTTTTACATCTTGTTTCAATAGCATCAATTTTCAAAGTAAAAAACTCTCCCCTTTATAAACCAGCTTTTTCCTGACTAATCTTTTATTCAATACCTTTTCACTAAAGCAGTGCTTCTCACACACACAAAAAAATCAGCATTACTAGTTCTTCTAGAATATAAGGATTTTCATTGTTACAGAAAAATAAACTCATTTAACTGAAATGAAGGCTTCATATTTAAGACTCCAAAAGCTGTTTTGTTCTCTGTTGTGCTTCTTCTGTTTCAAGAACTTCCTCTCCAAAGCTACTCAACGACTACATAAATTTGAGAGATTAACTAATTTCAGTTAAGCAGTTTTCATAAAAATAAAATTAAAAACATAGCTGTTGTACTCATTTATTTCATTCTCAGAAAGCGGAAGCCTCTCCAATCCCTTTTTATCATCTTTTCAACCAAATGACACTTCAATTTAATAGATACCTTAAGATTAGTAGATATAAATATTAGCAAATCCTCTTTATCAAAGGACAATGACATAATTAGGTTAAAGGTTATCATTTTTACATCTACATTTGATAAGTGATTTAAAAAAAACAGAGTGGAAGATCAATGAGATCTGTTTCCCCTGTCAAGCCCATATAATATCAGACTCGACGCTTTTTGGCAGGCTTGTTGTGGGTTTTCTGTTAATACAGCTCCCACAGCAAAATCCAGATGGCATGAAGTGAATGCTTTGTGAAACTCATTAACAATGATATAACTTTTGGAGTTTTTGGGGGGACTGGGGGCAGTTTTGTTCTGGGAGGGTTTGGTTTTTGGTTGGTTGGTTGGGGGTTTTTGTGTTTTGGTGGTAGTGGTTTTTATGTTTTGCCTTGTAAGGCAGGAGATGAATCCAACAACGTCAGTAAACAGAATTTCCTTACGGAATTATTAAGTAGAGAGGAAACAGCTTTCAGTGTTACAAACTTCACAAAGAGTGCTAGTTATCCAAGACTTGGAATCTTTTTCCATCCTAAGTCTTACTGAGATTAAGTGTTGATCCAATTGAAGCAAATACATGGCATACACCAGTTTTACATTGTTAATTCATCCACACAGCTCACAAAACAAATGACCTCAAGACAACTGATAGGACTGATACAAGACAAGAAAAATTTTTTAGAGGAAAAAATGTAATGGAATAAATATATAGTACAAAAATAAGATGCAGGAAGATGGGAAATAAGTGGTGATGCATTTAAGATATAAACAATAATCTGTTACTTGATGAAAAAGTGAATCCAGACAAGATAGAAGTCCTTTTTGCTATCTATTATCAAGATATTAAGTGATATAGTAACAATTAAAGATATAGTTGCACTCTGTGTTCTTAAATCAGTGCAACATTTTATAATTCTAAAGTAAAAGCAGTAGCCAGCAATGAGTAGGTTAAAGCATTTTAGTTTTCTGACAAAACAGAGTCACTTTACATAGATCTAGCAACACTAAAACAGCAGGCTTAACTTAAACTACAAGGAGACAATTTATTCTCATATGCAAGCAGTCCTTTGTAATTTTAGCATAAGGAGAACCTTATGTGGTCCTAGAAAATGTATGAAAACAGAGGAACAGTGAGTTTCAAACTCCTTTCTTCCACTCTTCATCTATATATTACAAGCAAACTCAACTTCTAGAGATGCAAAAAACACTTTAACGGACCATAACAACTAGCTTTTCTTGAAGTTTTACTTACTATTTTTTTCTTTTGAGATTTTAAATCTTCCAGCGCATCATCTAAAAGAAAGACATTATACATTAGTTTTCAAATACAAATAAGAGATAATTTCAGCACACTCTAATCGTTTGAATTTGCCGTGTGAGATCAGGAAAAATTATGCACTGATCACTACCAACCTTACAACATCAGTAAACTTTGCATAAAGTAAGTAAAGTTTTTATGTGAAAATAAATCCTTTAAAATCCTGAAACTGCTTATAAATTATAGCCCACTGTTACCACTTTACAGTTATAACTATTTAAAAGTTTTATGTAGCATTTCCTCATTAAGCAAACCAATTCTAGCCAGTGACCTGCTTTGACCTTTATTAAAACTCATACAACAATGGACGAAATACACTTCATCTCATGAGTCAAACTACAGAAAAAAAAGATTGAGGTCTAAGTATTAATATATCTATTTGAGTACCAGATTTACTGGCTTCAGTATTTCACGTAAGCCTCTTTACACATGCCAGTTTCAAATGCCAGGTCAATTCTGAGCTTCAAATCTCAATCTTTTTCACCCTTTCAATACTTTCAGACCACAGCAAAAATCTCAGTTTTGTAAGAAAAGCTAGCAGAAGGTCATTTTACTACTAAATGTTAAGAGATTATGTTTCAACTAGTAGGCACAGCACCTAACCTCTCCAAAAGGAAGAGAAAGAAGAAAGGTCAAATGCACATGGGATTTTCCTTTAAGTCAACGCTTGCAGCTTGGCACTCATGGAAAACTCACTGTAATAAACCATCGCCTAATACAGAATATATTCTCTTAATAAATCCATTTTCTACTACCACCTTCACAGCAAGGAGAGTTTAACAAAAAACTTTATAACTTTTTCCCCTTCTCAGCTCTGCTGGACACCAGCAGTTCGCTTCCTGTAAGATATAGCTATTTTTACCCTTTTTTTTTTCAGTTTTCAAAAAAAAAAAAAGCTTCACAGAACTACATGAAACAAAAACAAGCTCTACCAAACTAAATACATACTTTTTTGTATCTTAACTTAAATATATAAGTACGTTATACACACTTTTTAACATTGCTTCAGGAACACAACTGTTACTTGAAATTAAGGAAACACGTAATTACTTGAACTTTTCCAGAATGTAAAAACCCATTTTCCTAGAATAAACCACTTTATTAAATGCACAAAATACTAAAACTGGGCATGTACATATTCGAAAGTTTATGCAATTAAAGGGTAATTACAACAATCTTTTATTAGTTAAGACAAAGAGGGCATGGAACAAAGCCATATTTAGCTGGATCACAGAAGACAGGCAGTCCCAGGAAATGTGTGTCTTCTAATATAAATGTAAAATTACTACATGGATAGAGACACGTTATTAATTTGAAGACAGTCTCTCACGTAGCCCCACACAGATTAACACCTTGAAATACACTGCAATGCAATATGGTATCACCCAGACAAACAAATAGCACAATTAGGTCAGACATTAACAGTTACTTAAGAAACAGAAGCTTTTGGTAGAGAAATGCCTCCCACAAAGCAATGCAATCAGTTTAAAGCATGGGAGTGTTTCTGATCACATTACCTCCTGCATTCAACAGGAACCTCATGAAACACCTGCCCCTTCCAACATGGCCAATTGGCAATTACTGCAAAGTACTCTCAAGAAACCAATATATCTCATCTTAATTAAACCTACACAAAAAATAACTCATACTAGGGAAGTCAATACCTGCAAGATACCTCATTTATTTTTTCCCCACATTTTGGGACAGATCAGACTAAATCTTCCTCAACAGCTGTTTGCCTGACCAGTTTAAAAACTGGAATTCAGTAATCTTTCTATATCACCCTTCCTAGTGTCTCACTAGGAAATTTCCTCATTCAGAGCACGGTTCCCAAAACTGGTGTTATCTAACTGGTTATCCAGCATAGAGCTTGATCGTATTAAATAATAATCTCCAGCGACCCGATGTGTTATATTAATTTATCCCAGAATAAAAGGCAAGCTTTGAGTCACTCAGCTGCCAGTTTGCTCTCTCAGCTACATTTTCTCCTGCTTTACTGCTGTAACCCTTGCACTGCGCATTTGATTTCTCTTTTCCAAATACAGGACTTGTATCTTTGAGGTAAAACACTTCATTTCTACTCAGTCGATGGAACAATGCAGCAATAACTCCTTTTGGCATGTTCTAACATCTACTAAAAGCCTTTATACACAGGTTCAACAAAAGCATTAGACTTGCTTGTATGCTAAAAACAGCAATAAAGACATTTAAGCAAACTACAAAAACATACATACTATTTTTTTCTTATCCAGCCATGAAATGCAAATATATATTCACTGTAGAAATGAATCACACAGCACCACAGAATATATGGACAATTTTATTTCTACATAAAAATGTATGTCCTATGCTTGCATATCAAATGCAAACATTAAGTTTAAGAAAAATTCGAAAAGTGATGTTTAACTCGTAAGCTGTCACAAATTAAATACATCATGTTGTTCTGCAAGTCATAAAACACAGTGCAACATTGAGGTTTTCCTGTATTATTGCTCACATCACCATGAGATATTGTTACATGCTGAAGTGCTTTCAAGAAAAGTCTCAAATGAATTCTAACTACTGCAGACATGTGCCACAGATGCCATTTTTAAACTCTGCATTAGAATGAATCTGCATGTTCTTTAACAACTTCTTATATCTATTTGAACACCTGCATTGCTTTTTTTCCTTGTTACATGACTCACAATTTTCCTTAGCTCTCAAAAGAGTACAAAAGCACCTGCTTACACCTTTTCCACTCAGGAAAACATCAGCATGCTTTGGAGAACTTGGGAGAGAAAAGCTATCTTGACAAATAAATTAAACACTTCTGCTATAAATCTCTTCTCTTGTACATAAAGATAACAGAATAAGACTGATGGAATACTTGCAAGATGCAAGTATTAAGTGAACTATTACTACTGTTTCTATTTCCTTTCCCTCTCTCCTACTTCTACACTACATTTAAGATGTGAGAAAGTTACCACCATTTTCTAAGAAGTGAAAGATTAAGCAGTTTCCTTCCTGTTCTTTCAGGGACTGTGTGGTAGAAAAAACATTTTAACTAATGCTACCCATTTCAGCATCAACCAAAAGACTATTATTTTCCTGGAAGCCAAGTTATCCAAAATATCTGCATTTTAATAGCAAGCATCATTACCAAGTAGTTCCATATTCTAAAAAAAAAAAAAAAAGACAGAAAAAATACTTACTATTCCTTTCTGTCCTTTTGGAAAAGAAAAAAATGAGCAGTGTTCTTATAAACCAGATTCTTTAAAACAGAAAGAAGAATTATATTAATTAAAACATATTACAGTAATCATTTCTTAAGTCATTTAGCAAATAGGATAGTTAATGCAGAACACTTACCAGATGAGATTAACTTTTTAAGTACAAAGAACATAAATCTTCAAACAATACATATACAGAAAGCTAAAAATTACATTAGTTATCTTTTCAACAGGCATGGACATTGACCTAAACAAAATCTTCCTGTCTATTAAAATTTAACCATGTATTACTACAGGTAAAAATACTAAGGAAGCAGCAGCAAGTAACATCATAGCTTGCTAAAGTGTTCAGTGGGAACTTTTTAAAATCAAGGTATGCGCAGCTAGCTGAAAATTACTTAGTCAACACTTCTTATTTGACAGATTTATGATGCATATTATCCAGAAAACCAAGCTTACCAGCTAAGGTCCAAAATTAAGACCCAGGAGATTTGTGGAAAGAATTCAATACCAATGAAAAACATGAGATACAGTCATAGTACAAATGCTCTCCCAAGCAGAGTTAACTGACCTGACTCCTGGTGATTTCAGAGCTCTGAATCCACTCAGTTTCTGTAGGGTTTCATCTGACTTAGCTCAAACAGAGCAGTTTATCTGTGCTCAAGATAAACTGACTCATGATCATTTTACATTTGAAGGATTTCTCTGTAATCATCAGGACTTAATTTGTTTTAAAGCTGAGGATTGATTATAATTATTAAGTTGACACTTTTCCTGAAAAGTTATTTGACCTAATCCAAGTGCAAATCTCATACTTCAAGCCCTTACAAGCATCTTATTCAAAATCCTCCTAGTGTTGAGAACTATATAATAAAGCCTAAAGTAGCAATGCTTCATTTAAGAAAAAGAAAATTCTTAAAGGCTGGACAGGTTCTCTGAATAACAGCTAGCGTAAAAAAGCAGGCAAAGGCTGCACGAGTTAAAATAGTTTTGACTTAGTTCACAAGAACATCTTTTGCGTTTATGTAACGGCTGCTCCATTCAAAAGGCTTTAAAGTATTAACAACATAACCTAAGTTACAAATGTTAGACAAGACAACTGGAATCCGAGAGTAACCTATTCAAGGTCAGAGAAACAGAGAAAGAAGTTTAACTCTATTCTACATTCAAAGGTGTGCTGTAATAACTATTCTAAGAATACGGACAACTTTGCCCACTTACACAATGCAAGATGTATCTCTTCATAAAGTATCAACAGAAATAAAAGCTTCATTGGGTTTGAATTGCCTTAAAGACTATGTTACAAAAGCATTATTAGTTTTTTACTGTATGCTTAGTAAAGAGTCTTCTACCTAAAGTTGTATTTTAAGCTAACAGATACATGGTAGGACTTCATGAAATAAAAAACATTTCCTCTTTAAGAACTCTGAGGTGAAAGTTTAATAGTAGACCATTTCAGACCAATTTTACAAAATAAAAACATATTTCTCTGAAAATCAGAACATGCAAGATAAAACAGAATCTCATTAAAATAAAAATCATTTCAAGAAGAGCATCTTTCTAACATGCTAATATATTCCTTTAACTTTGCTGATATTTCAATATACATTTAAAATTAATGATGCTATATATTCCTAGAACTTAACTCACTCTACCAGCATCAGTAACTTGCCAAGACCCTGAGGGAATGACCTAAGGCAGAAATAAGTTGGTGACTGACTGCAAGCTGGAAAACACAGACATATTCCAGTTTGATTAGGGCTGAAAAATCTCTAGAGCTATTACTGGGTGGCATCAGGCATTCAGCATGGAGTCACCTCTTGACCGAGAACAAAGACAAGCTGGCAGTTGCTTGCCATTCATATCTGCCAAAAAAAGCTGAAAGGGAATAGCTTAAGAGAAAAATCAGATAAACAGTTGGAAGTTGTAAGAGAACAACAGTCTAATTCTAAATGTTAGTAAGCTGATACCTAATTCAGAATTTTACAGAAACCCATCATTTTAAAAAAAAGAAGTAACAAGAATTGGAGGACCAACTAGAGAATAAAAATCCAAAATGAAAATTCGCACCACAGCACTAGAAGCCATCACCTTCAGTAATAAAAGTTTTCATTTCTACACTAATCCTAACACACCTAAGTGAAGAGAGGCTGGAAATACTTCCTCTTCTACAAGCGCTCTCCATTAGCATGAACAAGCCTCACATGCTAAGAACAAAGATTTTCAACTCCTTGTCCTTACGAATAAAATCAATTCATATTGCTACCAAGGATTAATTTGAGCTTTAATTTCCATATTAATCCTTTCCAGTCAAGATACTGCTGCCCATGTATCTTCTCCACAGGATTCCATAACAGCAGCATATTAGTACATTATGCATAACACAGTTTGATGTATAAAAAGCATCTTCCAGTGGGTTTGCTTGTGTGTTATGTTGCGCTGACCCACATTAATCAAACTTGCAAAGCCTTTACTATTTACAATTGACTTTGCCTTTCAAGTCTAAAGCTAGGGCACTGACAAGTCATGTTTTCATACAAAGACGCTGTACAAATATGGACAGTATTTATGATGTTCATTTCAGCAAATTAGTAAATGCACTGTGCTCCCCATCGGCAGGAAAGATGCTCAGCAGGTTGCCTCTCCTTGATGGTCTGGGGGAAGGGGAGGCAGGGAAGTCACTGTTCAGCAAGGTGGGAGCCCATTTTGCTATTTTCAGAAAAGCAGTTTTCTTAGAAAACAAAAGCCACTCATGTGGATACCATTCAGCTCAGTGGAACAAAAAAGTAGACAATACTTTCTCCTGTTCACATCCAATGATGTCAGGATATTTTCTGTTTGAAAAAAACAGCCAATGATTTTCCAGAAAAACAGCTAATTATGCAAAACTAGTCCTCAGCATATTTAGGCTGACGACCTTTTAAGTCACTTCCCTGTTAATAGTCACCTAATATGTAAAAGTAAGTTTCTCCATTCATCCTTGTATTTTTTTCCCAATTTTATAAGCTGCATTTTACATATGGGTGGCATACCTTAGGTCACTTTCAAACAGTACTGTTAAGTTTCCAAACAGCAGTAGAAATTAAACCAAAGACAATATTCTTCTGCTTATTACATTACCTTGCAGCTGTTCAGATACAGGTCTCTCTCCAGCCCTGGTATAATTCTGATATGCCAAGTAACTTTAGATGTTAACATTTTTGATGGTAAGACTCAGTTCTACACTAAACCCAGACCCATGAGAGAGACCTCCCTCAAATAAAGTGTCTGCCCAACTACTTGGATTTATTATAAAAAATAAAAAAAAATAAAAATAAAAATCAGTAAGTCATGACAACTCAAGGATTGTCAAAAGCAAAACCAACCCCTGCTGGGATGTATTTTCCATCTCCTTTTTTGAAAGATACAGCAGTTAGGAAAAAGAGAAAAGGCGTATTTACTTACATCAATGGAAATGCAAAAAATGGAAGTGTCATAATTAACCTTGCTGTCCATTCATCAGGAAGACACCACAAATATACAATTAAGCACGTGATAAGGTAAAGAAGTGAAGAGTAGAAAAGCAGCCTTCCAACCCATAGTTTCTGTAGCCTCTGATTTTTTTCTCTAAATTCTTCTAATGTCTGTATTTCCTGTAAATAAATAGGGTTCAACCTCATTAGTGAAATTTGTTGGTGGTTTTAGCAAGCTGCCTTTAAGTGTTTGCTAAAATTAGTCATATCAATTTGATACTTGATTAGAAAAATCAAGTAGCTTTTTGATAAATGTCAGTATTTGCCCAAAGATAACTTTCATAGCATAAATACATCATACTATTAAGGTTATGATATGGGCCAACTGCACTGTATTAACGGTAGCACATCACTATTGGGAAGAAATATTACAAATAAGCACTTTTCCCTATTTGTAACACATTAGTATATTTAGGACAAGTGGAAAATGGCAATTTCTTATGAATGGCAGTCTTTGTGATCACATAAATCACTACCAAACATTCTTTGCATCCTAAAACTTTCATCAGACACCTGCGGAATTTCAAATTTCTAATACTTTTCTACTAACATGGGAAATTGCTGAAACCTCTCAGTCACTTCACATGTTTTCATTTCGGTATTTTCCTCACATTAAGAGTGAAATCCTGAACATCTGAATGATGCTTTTGGCATATTAATAAGTGATCAAGCAATGTTCTGCTATGTTACCATTTTGACTGTTATTTCAAGTGACAACAGGAGTACTCGCACTTTCATTAAAAAGAAACCAAAAAATATCAACAGCATATTTCCAAACAGTTAATTTCCCCATAGAGTGCAGACATCCGTCACAAATTCTGGCTAAAAATCAAAACTGGTTACTGAACCATCTATTCAGTTATTCTGCCCCTGACCTTAGTTCCTACCACTACAGTTACAACCCTTATACTTAAAACCATACATCAAAGTTTTTCTAATGAGCCTGATGAATGGAACTTTGTGTTAGTGACATTTTCCATTACACAGGAGTTTAACCATTAGTTATAATCAAATTGTGTAATGAAACCAACTTCACATTCATTCCCATTTCAGGCTCTCTAAATAAATATTTCAACTGTGGTTTCTCAGTATTATACAGCTGTTTGGGTTTGGTTTGTTTTTTTTTTTAATTACTAACACTAAGGAGGAAAAAGGTAGCAGTCCATCTGAAACTCAGAATCTCTAGTATAGCCAACTGGAATAATTATCAAAATAATTTAAAATTCCATTGCAGTATTTTGCCTAATGTGAAAGAAATACACAGCCAAACAGATGCATATTTCTAAACAAAAAAATGAAACAAAACGCCAAATAGCAATACATACCTTATCAATTTTTTCTAATACTTCTACAGTGGAAGGCTTTGCCTGCTTATAAGGGAAAGAACAAAGATGTTAGTCTCACAAAAAAATTCAATATTTTGAGGATTACTGTACATTTACAGTTTTTAACAAAAGACATATTCATAACAGATTAATGTATTATTTATTTTTCCATAAAGGTAAGACATTTCCCTATTTTCATAGTGACAAATAGAAGGGACTGTAACGATCACTATTTTACAGTTGGTGTTACTATTTAGTGAAAGCTCCTCTCCTACACCACAAAAGATTAAAACCTATAATGCATGTACAGCAATAATAGATGTGTGGGTGGGAAGTAAAACAAGGAGAGAATTGATGAGTGGACTGAACAGGCAAAACAAAGAAAATATATACAGGAAGACATAACTTGAGAACTTAAGCTTTTTATTACTATTCATTCCACATAAAGACACATGCTCTAAATAAATTATAAGCAACTGCAAATAACTGTTATCCTCTCCAGTAAAACTCCCCTTAGGATCAACTTGGAAGCCACCTTCTAGGAATCTTTCCTAATTTCTGAGAAGTACAGAGCCACTATCTTCTTCCCCTCACTCTTCAGGTCACAAATTCAAAAACCTTAGCCTACACTGCATCACCATGAAAGTAAATTTCTTTATTACACAAAACTGGCAATTAACCTAAACTTTTGCTTTAAAAAGAGTTTTTGTACAGGAAGCTCTGAAATCAATTGATAATATGCAAAGGTAAACCTAGACTCAAAAAACTCACATCTGCCAGGAGAGTAGTCAAAAACCTCATGCCTCTTCCTCAAACTCAGTACACCATTCAATAACATACAAGCCAATAAAAACAAGAAGAAAGACTTGTATAAGTAGCTACCAAAATATTTGTTAAGACAGACATAGAATAATACTCTAAATGTATCCATTTAGACCTAAAATAGCCACCAATCTTTCAAGTCACAGATGATGCTGCATCTATCCCAACAAAGCACCACTACCACAAAACTATTTACAGAAAGAGTTCAAAATGTATTTTTGTAAGTTAACCAAACAAGTGCCGGGGCTGGTACTACAAAGAAAACAAGGGGCAGCTGCATAGTTTCACAGTTGAGGGATTTGACAGATAATATTTTTGGTCATTATGTCTCACTACTGGACTTTTAAGCAACATATTAATGGGAAAAGTTCAGCACTAACATTCAGCTAGCACTAACAGTAAACCAATAGGCATTAAGAAACATGTCCTGCATACTCCCATCTTCTAGACTAAAGATTATTATACTGTTACATGACTTTACTTACCCTCCATCTTGAAATTAATCCACCCATCTTCTATTGAGGACAAATGTTGGCAGAGCTATCAATCTTCTACAAGAATTCACAGCTAGAAGTGAAGCATTAAGCACTTAGGAACAATCTAACATCATAGTCCAAGATTCACAAATTTATTCCAATATCTAAAGGAATCAAAATATTGCATAAAGCCACTGCCTACTTATCCATCTACAGTTCTTTTAAAATCCAGTCTTCTGTTCCATAGGCCATCCTGTAAGTCAGCAGATCAGCCTTGATGAGCAAAACCTATTTTTACTTTGGAAACATTTAACCAGAGGGTAGTCCTCAAAAATAAAGGTACAAAATAACTGTTAAAAAAGCCACTAAAATCCTCCAGTAGAAAAACAATTTAAAAAAAACTTACAATGAATATCCCACTATTTGTGAGAAAGTTCACCTCCAATAAATTGACTTCCTTCTCACGCTCTCATCAACCAGAATGTATCGGATGGCACAATTGTTCTTCCTTTGTATTACCAGTTTTAAGTTCAAACAATCAGTTTCAAAGATATTTCACTTGCTCTATGAAAGCACTACATTGGTAGGTGTTCCCCGCACACAACACACAGTGCATCAAATAGTCCAGCACACTGGCACATCAAATAGTCCTAAAGCAATTCCAAAGGTGCAAAAGTAGCTCACCCTGGAACCAAACCTGGAACCCATGAACAGCACTAATTTGATAACCTGGGTCTAGGTTGCTGAAACAAAAGCATAACAACTTTCCATTAGCAGGTAGGTGGAATCAATTGACTTTGAACCTTAGGAGGGCAGTTTCTCTCCAGCCACTTAATTTACAAGTTTTCACCCAATGAATGAAAAAGTGATCAGCTTATAGCAACCCCCACAGTGAACTAATGCTCAATCCCAACTAGGGCTCAAACCCTTTTAACTCTGGAATGAAACAGTAAAACACTAAAACAAGGCACTAATCCAGTTAGGCAGAAATAGAAGTTATTATCCTGGTTTTTAAGTTATCTTTGGCCAAAAATTGAAAGAAAGAAACCTCATCTCTATCAAAATTTGTTCCCAAATTGCCCAAGAACATCAGAACAAATTAATATACTATAGGATACTGTTGTGGTTTTAACCTGGCCAGCAGACAAACACAGGAATTATGCACAGTGCAGTTGCTCACCAACTGCTGACCAATGCCCAACCATTCTTCGCTAGCGATCCTGGAGGAAAGAAAATTCCAAAACTGCAATCCCGGAGAGAGAGTGAGCTTCACAGTCAACTCTCACCTATACACTGAGCACGACATTGCATGATATGGAATATGTTACTGGCCAATTTGGAACCATTGCTCTGTCTATGCTCCCTCCCAGCTTTTTGTGCACCTACAGACTAGCAAAGCACGGGAAGCTGAAAGGCCCTTGATTTCTTAGCACCAACTAAAATCATCAGTATATCATCAACACTCTTCTCATGCTAAATGCAAAACATAATGCTATTCTAGCTACTAAGAAGAGAATTAACTCTGTCCCAGCCAAAACCAAGACAGATGCTACTGTAGTATGGTAACCTCTTCACCTTTTAAGAAAGCCAAGGACTTCAGAATCCAGAACTATAGGCCCTATGATTTAAAAAAAGCAATCCTTAAAGATAAGGAAATCTGTATTTGAAATGCCACCAAAAAGAAGCTAGAACTGATGGACAGATCAGCTCTGCTGCTGCCAAATTATTAGCACAAAGGGGTGAGCTACAGAAAAAGCACAACTACCCCCTGGACTCTTGAGTAAATTCTCAAAATAATCACTACTACAGCAACTAACCTCAGTAAAACAGCAGCAATATTTTTATTTTTCAAACACGCAGTATTACTGTTCCCTAAGAATTTCATACAATTGTCACTTTGCAGTTACAGGCAAGTTTTTGAATGACAAGTATTGTAGTAGATCTGAGCAGACACTTTCTTCGCAAATAATACTACAGACACAGACAGTATCATTATTGCAAAACAACATGAAAGCTATGTCAAATAGTCAATCAAGAAGTTTGTAAACTTAGCACAAGGTTCCCAAATCTAGTTTGCTTCCCTGGGATTGTCACTGCTGTTCAGAGGAACAGTAGCTCTCAGTTCTGGACATACAGAGACGCAGCAATGCTCACGTGGCCTTTTCGTGTGCCATTTTCCTTCAGGCCACAGTTTGAGAACCTCTGCAGGAGAAGTGTTAAGAGTACCTTTCGGGCACAGGTTATCTGTGAGCCACTGGTGACAGTGACCTTTGTCTATAATACATTCGCACTGCTATCTCTACATATGTTTTTCAAAATATCTGGCAAATACCTGGAAGGGAAATAGGTTTGACAAGTGTCAGCGTGTGCATAATTTTACATGAACTATGATGCTGACAGGCTTTACATAAACTGCTCTAAGTCAGTAGTACTATCAAAACCTTTCCCCAAAGAGGTATTAAGGGATTAGGGCCACCAGACTCACATTTACAGTTTAGTCACCGAATCCTTAGTTAGGAGATGAAGAATTTTCTGTGGTTTCTGTGGAATGCCTCAGATGTTTTCCTGCCCTCCCTTCCTTCTTTTTGAGATGACAACACAAATTGTCATCAGGTGCTTCAAATTCTCCTCATTCCTCCTCACTTGCCTCTCCACATACCTACCACTAATATCCTACTGTTTATGATAAGAGTCCTCCTTCCTTCCTTCTCATGCTCTAACCATCACATTACTGCACAGCACTTTTGCTTTATGAAGACTGCATTTCTTTAGCACAGAGTTGTCCTTTCCACTCACTGAACACTGCTGCAATTGGACTTATTTCCACAAATATTATCCCTGATTTAATACACAAATAAGATAGCGGCAACATTTTCTAGCCCTAGGCTTAAAATAGACAACAGTGGTGTTAAAAAACATTTAATGTAGAAGACTGAGGAAAAACTATTAACAATTTTATTACCTAACTCTAAAAAAAAAAAAAAAAAAAAATTCCTGATAGCATCAGGAAAAACATGGAATTTACTTAGTCAAAAGCAATGCAGAAGCATCACAGTAGAGTATGGGCGCAGAAAAGATTTCTCTTTTGAAAAAGTGATTAACCATGCACAAGTACAGAAGTCATCTACCAACCTATTCATCCAGATGGAAAAACAGTTTGATGATCTCATTACACTTTTATCAAGTCAGTCTCAAAGTTCTTCAAGTTTGTTGTTAAGATTAAAAACTCACCAAAAAAAAAATCAAAGTCTCCAAAATAAAAAAATCTGAAGTTAGAAACTTGAAATCAAGGCTTTGCATACAGACATACAGACCTTTCCCCTGAAGGAAGGGGGACTGCTCCTTAAATTAAGTATTTTGTAAACTTAGTGACTTCATTTTATGTAAATATTTTCAGATATTTACCATTACAAAGAACACAGGTTCTACTCTTCAACTTGAATCTCCAGTTCTGCTCACTAATTTTCCACATAAAATTCATATTCTCCCACAATTTACTGACCTCGGAAACTTCCACAGTGACCATAAAAAGTTTCTCCAGTTGTGAACGCCACGGAAAAAGAAACAAGCAAGACAAAACCAGGAGCATCAGCCATCACCTGCTGCTAGCCTGTCCTAGCACCTCCCAGTTAAAATAGGATAGTGAATTTTGTTCATTTGAAGCTTCATTTTCAGCTCTTTCTGTTTGGAAGCCTCCTATGAGGGTCCTATGCTTCGTAAAGCCTTAATTAAAAAAGCAAATGAACTCCAAAGCGATGGAGCAAGGAGTGGGTGGGTCAGGCGCTTTTTTTTTTTGAAGCCCAGCCTTGTTTTGAAGCCTGCGAGAGCGG